GAAAGAGGGGGAGAGGGAGGGAGAGAGGGAGGAAGAGAAGGAGAGGGAGAGAGAGGGAGGAAGAATGAGAAGAGGGGAGGGAGGGAAGTGAGCAGAGGGAGAGGCGTGGGGCAGGGTCTCATGTGCCGCTGTCCTGCCCAGGCCTCCACTGAGCTCCAGCTGCAGCACGTGCCACGCCCAGTCCCCGTGGGGGGCTCAGGCTCGCACACCCTGTGGCTGGGCCTGCCACCCCCCGTGTTGCACAGTGCCAGACTCTGGCAGACCTTAGGCTATCAGGGAGCTGCGTGATGTGAGGCGTGCAGACGCGGGTTCGGGGCTGGGGTTCTGCGTGGGAATTGGGGGCAGCAGGGCAGGCGGTGTTGGGCCGTGGGGATGCTGCAGCTCTCCCAGGGACTTGACTGGAGGTCTCTGGCCTGAGGGACGATTTGCCCAGAGCTCGGCTGCTTCCTATTGCCCTGGGGAAGGATGGCTGTGGGGGGGTGGACCCCGCTCTGCAGCGCCCCCCCTTTGCTTTCTAGAACATCACTCTCCTGATCCCTGGCTTCTACCGCTACATGGACGCAGCGGCCAGCAGCTCTTCGCAGCTGCCCGACCTGGCCCGCCGCCTGGACGTGGGCAGTGAGAGCCGGCCCGCAGAGATGGTCTCCGACCTCTGGCAAGGCCAGGACCCAGCTGGGGGGGCCCCAGGTAAGACACGGCCTGTGACGAGCCCACACAACCCTCAGCACCTGCCACAGCCACGACCCCTCCTGGAGCTGAGAGGGCAGAGTGGGCTGCTGGCTCCCGGGCTGCGGTCCTCTGATTTTGTAACCTCTCAGCATAGTGGGGAGGAACGCCGTTGCCCCAGCCCATGTCACCCTGAGCGCCTCCTGAGACGGGTGGCCCGTCGACCTTGTCTGAGCGGTGTGAGAGCGAGCTGGGGGTTGTGTCCCGGGAAGTCTGCCGCCATATCCCGGCCACATCCATTGACTCAGTTAGGTTTGCCCCATGGTTTTAATGGAGCGCTTTTGATGACTTCTGCAAGTGACCCTGTCCTGTAGGGATCGCAGTAGGAGTGTGGGGAGAGGGCTGGCACCGCAGCTGCCTGAGGGCCCACTGCTGCCAGGATGGCCTGGGGTGGAGGGTGTGACGCCCATGGGTGCCCGCCCTGGTGACGCCAGTGCCAAAGCACCTGAGGCTTGCGTCCTCCGTGGCGCCAGCTTCCCGACCACAGGCAGCGAGGGGCATTGGCACCTGGTCTGTCTCGGGCTGTCCCGGCTGGCCTGGTCTCTGGGTGCTGCCTCGGGGGTTCTGGGTGCATAGCCTTGCATCTGGAGGGCGGGCTCAGGCCTGGGGCTGGGCACAGCAGGGCGGGTCCTCGGGTGGGGCCTCTGCTGTCCTGTGGGGGAACACAAGGAGACCTGGGGCGACCAGTGCTGCAGTACGGAGCATGCCAGGGACGCATGTGTATGTTATAGTGGGCCACTCGGCCTGTTGTGTGGGTGTGCCTGTGCTCGGGGTGTGGGTGCCATGAGAGGCCGAGGACGTGACCACGTGGTGTGGTGTGCGCGTGCTCAGGTGTGGGTGCTGTCTCTCGGCCAGGCCGGCCACCTGGGCCCCTGCCTCGGCCCGCCGAGTAGCTGAGCTAAGGTGGGCTGGGAATCGAACCCCGGCCTCCCGAGTGGCATTAACCTGCCACGGAGCAGCGTGGTCTGGAAGCACCGCCACACCAGGGCCGGGCAGTCCTAGGCAGCGAGGCTTCCCAGATGGGGTGGGTGTTGTCGCTAGCCCGTGTCGGAAATGCCCGTCGGGGGTGTCGAGGTCGTCCAGCTGCACTCGTCCCACGCAGGCTTCAGTCTTCCAGTGGTCCTTGCGTGAGAGCAGGTGCTGTCCTCACTGCACGCCAGGCCACGTGGCAGGTGACACCACTGCTTGTGTGGAACAGGCAGGACCACAGGACCACTGTGCAGAGCTGGGGCAGACAGGCTCAGGAGGGCGGGCAGCGGGAAGCGGGCCGTGCAGTTGGGGGCGGTCGGGGTGGGTGGGCCAGGAGGGAGGGAGGGCAGAGAGGAAGAGGGTGTGCAGTAGTGGGGGAAGGGGGGACAGGCCAGGATGGGGGGCAGATGAGAAGAGGGTGTGCAATCTGGGCTGGGATGGCCTGGATGGCAGGCAGAGGGAAGCGGGCGTGCAGTCGGGGAGTCTGGGAGGGCAGGCAGCATGTGGGCAGACTGGGCACAGCTCTCCGGGTGGCAGGAGCAGCCATCTGGCACCTGGCACACTCCGGCTGTGGCGGGAAGCCAGAGGGAGGCAGGCCACAGGGTTGCGGGCACCTGGGGCGCCTCAGGCTTTTACCTGGACTGGAATGGGACCCAGGGCCGTCGCGCTCTGATGGTGCTCATGGCTCAGGTCTGGAGGGTTCACGGCAGGGGTTCAGGGTCAAGCAGCAGAGAGGCCCGGGCCCAGAACTGGGCTGGCTTGACAGAGCTCCTGAGGTCTCCCCAGCCGCCGCCTGTGCTCAGAGTCTGTGTGAGGAGTGTGGTTTGGCAGCGCCCCGGCTCCAGTGGGACACTCGGGGGAGTGCGACAAGTGCCCACCGAGGACAGGACTATTTCCTGGTGCTGCCACTAGGTCCGAGGCCTGATGTCGTGCTTGCTGGTGACCTCATTCTGCCACAAGAGGGGACCCCACAGCTCTTGGGAAGTCCGGAAGTCTCCGCCAGGATGCAGCCCCCACTGGAAACCAGAGCCTGTCCCTCCTCCCCCGGCTCTCAGCCTGCTCCAGGGTAGGTCCCTGGGGGGAAGGTGGCAGGTCCCCAGAAGGTGAGGCCTGTGGTAGCTGGGGTCACTTGGAGAGAAACGCTGGCGTGTTAGCAGTCTGTGTGTACAGCGTTTAGGCGTTCTTGACCAACTTTCTTATTACAAACCTGCCCGTGCACAGCATACGGGAAGTGGCCACCCCGATGTGGAGTGCGCTAATTGTGGCCCTTTCTCGTCTTGCCCAGGAGGGCCTGGGTCTCCGTACCGACAGGCCCTCCTGCCCCAGGTCCGGGCACGGGCAGAGATGCGCACCCTCCCCGGGACCCGCGCCTTCTCGTCTGTCTCCTGTCCGCCTCACCTCTGTGACATTTACCCACCTCGTTGGGTTTTAGTCTTACTGAAATTATTTTAAAAACGTTGCTTTAAAAATTATTTTAAATTATTTAAAAAATAATACATGAATATGTGTGTTTTTATTTTTTTTAAAGCATGGAATAATAATAGTGAAAAGAGAAAGTCTCCCCCCCGCTTTTTTTAGAGGTTTTTGCTATAGGATGCTTGTGCTCACCAGAAAGACAGAGACAGACAGAGACACAGAGAGACAGAAAGCAAGAAATCACCCCCCAGGGGGGATGGTCACGCCGCAATCCCTTGTCCTCCATTCTCCTCTCGGGATCTTGGGCACGCACGCACACGCTCACACGTGCCCGGTGTGTTTAAGCCACGGGGTCCAGGACTCCAACCGCGGTCGACTACGTGGGAGTCCAGCGACATAGCCGTTACGCCGACTGCTGGTCCCGAGAAAGTCCTTTTAACCGTCTCTCAGCCTTTTTCCCTTAGAGGGCCATTGTCAGCAGCTACGGCCTTCTAGATCTATGCATTGAAATAGGAACATACACTACACGTGTATGTACACGTGTGCACACACATGCTCGTGTGTAACTGCTATTGTAATGCAGCCATGGTCACACTGGGCATCACCTTCTGCCTCCTGTGTGCATGCCCATCTAGAGATGTGCTTGCCAGAGGGAGAGGCAGAGTGAGGGAGAGTGAGAAATCACCCTCAGGAGGGAAGGCCATGCTGCAGTCCCTCCTCCATTCTCCTCTTGGGATTCTGGGCACACGTGTATGTGCCTGGCATGACTTCTAGCTGCCAAGTCTGGGACTCAGGCTGTGGTTGGCCACATGAGAGTCCAGCGCTGTAACTGCCATGCCCCTGCTGGCCCCGAGGTACGTTTTCACACGGAGTACGTGGCAGTTTTGCCAGTGGATGTAACAGTGCCCTGGCATCTGCTTCCACCTCCTCACTCTTCCTAGCTAACCGGGGGCCCATGTGGTGGTGTGAGAGGCTGGCCATCAGCTCTCTGTACCCTGTGCTCATCTGTAGATGAGGAGTGACAGTCCTCCCTTGCCTAGGGGTGCTGTGAAGCCGACATGAGGTGACACTTGTCTTGGCCTGTGGGTGCTCACTCGATCCCCGAAGAGCCTGGGGCATTGTACAGGGCTCTGTCGCCCTCCGGGGACCCTGGACAGGGCTCACCTTCGGGACTCGGTGCCACCAGGAGCTGACCTGGAGGAGCTGACGTCGGTGTCTTCTCTTAGATGGGACACCTGTGGGCCGCACAGTTCTGAGAGTGTGGTTGGCACCTGTGGGTGTACAGTGCAGCCAGTGACTGAGATACCTGCTCACCCACCCACCCTCCATCATGTACCCACAGACAGACGTTGTGGAAGCTCGGAGCTCACCTCTAAGTTAGGGTCCAGCCGGGAACCTGAGCTGAGGATGGTAAAGCAAGGGCGCGAGGAGGGGGCAAGTAAGGAGCCGAGGGTGGCTGTGTCTGGGGACTGAGTCCCCTTTGCAGAAGTCCCAGCTGGGCTCAGCTCTGTCGTCGTTTTCGGTGCTGCACTCTGAGGCCGAGTGGATGATGGGGCTGGGCCGGTATGGAGCCTCACAGCAGCTGAGGTCTCCGGCCCTGTGGTGGCCAGCCTGGCCTGCATACTGGGGCGCTGTGTGTGGTCCCTGCTGCCTGTGGCTTTGGTCGCTGCCGTACACCCAGCCCAAGCCTGGATGCACCAAGGCCAGTGGGCCCTGGCCCCTGCAGCTCCCTGAGGCCACCTCTCACCTGCCACTGTGTTGGCCAGACTTAGTGGCACGGCCATGCTAGCTCCCCCCCGGCACTTTGGGAATGTTCTCTTGTTTCCTGGGTTCTCTGGGGTCTTAACCACAACACTGAAGCCCACAGAGCCCCCGGCACTGAAGGGCTACTTTTTCCTTTGGTGCTGAAATGCATTTGCTGGTCAGACGGGCCCTTTTGCAGCTGGCAACGTATTTTCCTTGGCTGTCAACTTCGCCATAGGTATGGGCGAGCATGGAGCATGTGGCCGGGGCCTGCTGCAGGCTGCCTCAGTGCATGATGGCATGGTCTTTCCGTGACCCAGCATGTCTACTTGGCTTTGGGGCTGCAGGGCTGTGGGTCTGAGACACAAGGCATTGGCATTTGGTACCTTGGCGGTGGGTGCCAGGGTCTGCTGCGGGGTCTGCACACCGTTTGAACACCAAGTCCCAGGCTCCTCCGCAAGGGTTAGGGATGCCCTCTAGTGTGGGTTAGGTTAGGGTTAGGGATGCCCTCTTGTGTGGGTTAGGTTAGGGTTAGGGATGCCCTCTAGTGTGGGGTAGGTTAGGGTTAGGGATGCCCTCTGGTGTGGGTCAGGGTTAGGGTTAGGTTAGAGTTAGGGTTAGGTTAGGATTAAGGATGACCTCTGGTGTGGGTTAGGATTAGGGTTAGGATTAGGGGTTAGGGTTTGGTTAGGATTCAGGTTAGGGTTTGGTTAGGGTCAGGGTCAGGGTTAGGGCTAGGGTTTGGTTAGGGTTAAGGGTTAGGTTAGGGTTAGGGTTTGGTTTGGGTCGGGGTTAGGGCTAGGTTATGGTTAGGTTAGGGTCAGCATTAGGTTAGGGTTAGGTTATGGTCAGGGTTAGGGTCAGGGTTAGGTTAGGGTTAGGTTATGGTCAGGGTTAGGGTCAGGGTTAGGTTAGGGTCAGGGTCAGGGTTAGTGTTAGACATGCCCTTTGGTGTGGCTCCCTCCTGCCCCATCTGCTGGCCCACAGGGTTAGGGTCAGGGTCAGGGTTAGGGTCAGGGTCAGGGTCAGGGTTAGTGTTAGGCATGTCCTCTGGTGTGACTCCCTCCTGCCCCATCTGCTGGCCCACAGGCTTAGGGTTAGGATCAGGGTCAGGGTCAGGGTTAAAGTTAGTGTTAGGCATGCCCTCTGGTGTGGCTCCCTCCTGCGCTGTCTGCTCGCCCGCAGGGTTAGGGTCAGGGTCAGGGTTAGAGTTAGTGTTAGGCATGCCCTCTGGTGTGGCTCCCTCCTGCGCTGTCTACTGGCCCGCAGGATTAGGGTCAGGGTCAGGGTCAGGGTTAGGCATACCCTTTGGTGTGGCTCCCTCCTGCCCTGTCTGCTGGCCTGCCCGCAGGATTAGGGTCAGGGTCAGGGTCAGGGTTAGGCATGCCCTTTGGTGTGGCTCCCTCCTGCCCCGTCTGCTGGCCCGCATGGTCAGGGTCAGGGTTAGGGCTAGGGTCAGGGTCAGGGCTAGGGTCAAGGTCAGGGCTAGGGCTAGGCATGCCCTCTGGTGTGGCTCCCTCCTGCCCCGTCTGCCTGCAGGAAGGCGTGCAGTTCCCTGAGACAGGCACGAGGCTCGCTCTTGGTGAGGGATGGACGGACCGAGGAGGCCGCGGTGGCAGTAGGTGGAGCTGTGGGCCTCTGCCCCTCTGTAGGCCGCTTCCCACCCTCAGCTCCTTGGATTGCTCGTGGTCCACATCCTCCCGCCTGCTCTCGGTGAGCCCTGGTGTGTCTGCCAGGTGCCGACGCCGGGCCATCATGTTCTTCCCTGCGGTGGCAGGCATGACGACTTCCGTCCTCTGGTGGCGGTGTCGGATTCTGGCTGACGGGCGGGTGCTCGTCCCTCTCAGCCCCTATCCCCTCTGTACACGCTGGGCTGTGCCCCTGAGGGCTGTCTCCCCGGAGTGGAGAGAGCGATGGTTCATCACCCCAGGTTCTGACCCAGAGTTCTGGATCACTCAGACTCCTCAGTTGGGGGGAGGGTCCGACCCAGGCCCTGAGAAGTGGGGCCGCACCGCAGTCTGAGGGCCATATGCGGGGCTTTCGGAAGCATGTGCAGAGTGTTTCAGAAGGCAGGCCCTTCATTTTGCACTTCGGCGTTAAGTGATTTGTGCTCGTGTCTAATAGAGGGGAGCCTACGGGTCTGTTCTTTTGACTCTGGTCTCTCAGAGACGTGTCATCCATGTGACTCTCCCCAGGGTGGACGACATCCTGGAGGGTAGCCCACCTGCTTGTGACGAGCAGTTGTTGCCCAAAGACCAGCGCCACATCCTGGAGGGCAGTCCACCTGCGCATGGCAAGTGGTTATTACCCAAGGACCAGAAGCACGTCCCAAGGAGGAACCCACCCGCCCACGGCAAGTGCTTGTTGCCCAAGGACACACAGCGCACTCCTGAGAGCAGCCCACCCGCCCACAGCGAGCAGTTGTTGCCCACGCACCTGCAGTGCATCCCGGAGGGCAGCGTACATGCCCACAGCAAGGAGGCCTTGCCCACGCACCTGCAGTGCATCCCGGAGGGCAGCCCACCCGCCCATGGCAAGGAGGCCTTGCCCACGCACCTGCAGTGCATCCCGGAGGGCAGCGCATCCACCCACAGCAAGGAGGCCTTGCCCACGGACCTGCAGTGCATCCCAGAGGGCAGCCCACCCGCCCACGGCAAGGAGGCCTTGCCCACGGACCTGCAGTGCATCCCAGAGGGCAGCCCACCCACCCACGGCAAGCAGGCCTCGCCCACAGACCCACAGATCACTGCCTTGGGGACCAAAGAACCAGCTTCAACAGAGAGTCCCGAAAAGGACATACTGGGAGAGAGCGGGTGTGAGCCAGTGGGTGCTACACTGTCCGCTCCACGCGTGGGTCCTGCAGTCCCAGAGCCAGCCGCGAATGGCCACAGTGACTCACAAGCGTGTGGCCCGGGTCCGCGAGCACAGCCAGGGCCGCTGGGTCTCTGCAGCTGCGGCCTGCCGTGTACTCGGGCTGGTGCTGTCACAGCCCAGACCCCTGCCACGGGCTGGCCGACCAGGGGGCTCCTGGGGCATTGCCCTCGTTATGGGGATGAGTGGTCCCTATGTCAGCAGGGCCAGCACGTGGCCCCCAGCCCCCCAGGGGTGGTGTGTGTGTCGCTCAAGACGCCTGCCCTGGATGAGTCCTGGTCGAAGGTGCCAAGTGGCCAAGAAGAGCTGCAGACCTCTGTGGTCAGCGAGCAGCTGTCCGAGTGGAGCTCTGCAGTGACCCCGGGCCGCCCCTGCACCGGGCCTGTCCCAGCAGGGCCCCTGCCCTTGGCACCCCCCATGTTGACTTGTGGCCTGGGAGGCCTTGACCCACTGGGAGGCCGTGCAGGCAGCTCCTCGGCCTGCTATGCCCTGGCTGCCGACCTCCCTGGAGGCCTAGAGGCTGTGCAGGCCCCAGGGGCTGATGTGGATTCATTTTCCTGGAACCTCAAGGAACTCTTCGTTAGTAACCACATAGCCCGAACTCCATCGGATGGCTCCTGGGCCACATCAGAACTCATAGAGACCCCTTCTCCTCCAGTAGTGAGCTCAGATTTGGGTGTCAGTCTCCACGGGCAGAGGCCAGAGGTTCTGGATAGCAGGGAGCTGCTGCTGCTGGCCGGTACCTGCCTAGACCTTGGTGAAGGCCTGGGGCTCCAGGACAGCCCCCTGGCACCCGGTCGAGCAGACCCGGCCGAAGCCCGTTTGGTGTCTCCGGAACGTTATGATGCAATTGGCGGAGAGAGTCTGGGCTGCTTCCCTGCCACACCAGGCTCTGGCCCCGAGGACACATACCTGTCAGAGGAGCTGAGGCGGGGCCTCCAGATGACCTCCACGCCCATGACACCTGGCACAGCTGGCCCGCAGCGGGAGATCCGGGAAGGCACTTACTCGGGGAGCTGCTACCACCGCGCCGGCCTGCGGCTGAGTATGTGCCGGCACTGACAGGGGGCCTGCGGCCGGACGGCAGCACAGAGGGCAGGCTTCAGCAGGGCGTGTGCAAGGGTACCACATCACTGTCTCAGAAGGGCTGTGAGCGTGTGTGCCTGGGGAGGGCGCGGCCCAAGGTGCGACCTGCCACCGTGCAGCCTTGGGTTTGGGAGGGGTTGAGGTGCGGCGCTGGAGCCTGTCCTGCCGGGCGGCCCCTGGGAGGCCCGGTGACAGTGGCAAGGTGAGGTGTCATGTGTTCCTACGTGCTTTTGGTTCCCGGACGCTTCCCCTTGGCCCAGGTCCACTGTATCTTCTCTAGTTGTTTCCATCTGGCTGATTTGGTAGCGCTGGTTGCTGAGTAAAAATGGATAGGTAACTCCCTGTGATTTGTAGAGGCCCTAGAAAGTCCAAGGGGCCCTCCAGTAGCCCATAGGAGATATGTGTTGTGGAGACGATGCACGGCTTTCAGCTTCTATGTTTTGAGGGAGAGATTTTTGCTATAGGGCGCGTGCGCTCACTGGAGAGACAGAAAGTGAGAAATCACCCCCCAGGGGGATGGCCACTCTGCAATCCCTTCTCTATTCTCCTCTCGGGATCTTGGGCATGCGCGCACATGCACCCGGTATGAGTTAAAGCCACCAGATCTGGGCCTTGAATGATGGTCAACTGTGTGGGATTCCAGCACCATCTCCATTACGCCACCTGCTAGTCCTGGATTTCAACTTTTTAAAACAGTAAAGAAAAATAATTTTCCCCTATAGGATGCATGTCCTCACTAGAGACAGAGAAGAGAAATCGCCCCCGGGGGGTGGCCATGCTGCAGTCCTTTTCCCTCCACTTCCCTCCTGGGATGCTGAGCACACACACATGCACACCTGGCTTGATTTTCAAGCTGCTGGGTCTGGGACTTGCCCAGCTGACCATGTGGGATCCAGCACCTTAACATGCCACCTGCTGGCCTGGGTTTCAACATCTTGTTTTACACCCAGTACACTTGTATTTTGATTCCATTTTCCCATGAAGTTGGAAGCCCCTGTGTATAAATAAGAAGAAACTAAATCTCTTGTCAGCACTGCCCCCCACAAAGCGGACGGCCGCATTTGTCCAGGTCAGGGAGGCAGGCGAGAGAGCGGGCAGCTCTGTGTGCCGTGCTGCAGTGGGTGCTGCGAATGCTGTGGCCAGGTCGCTGCAGGACACGCCAGCGTCCAGCACAAGCCACCTGTGGCCTGAGGCTGTGCTGGTGCAGGTCTGGGCTTCGCTGAGCTGGTGGGGCGCTGCGGGCTGCTGCTGTAGCTGCATCCCTCGGCCTCTGCTGCCGGCTTGGGGGCAGCTATACTGCCGTGGCCTTGGGTGCTACTGCTGGCCCCAGCTGTCAGGGAGTGACTGGCAGCGCTGTGGTCTGGCGAGGTCAGCAGAGGCTGCGCCTTCTCGCCCCCTCACCCTTAGGTGTGCAGTTTGAAGTGAAGCGGGTGGAGCTCCAGGGCCCCAGGACCCTGTTCTGCTGCTGGCTGGTGAAAGACCTCCTCCACAGCCTGCAGGACCCGTCCACCAGGACCCGCCTGTTCCTTGCCAGCCAGCCCAGCTCCGCCCACGCCTTGTCCGACCTCCCTGGATCCAGCCTGGGGGAAGTTGGTATCTGCTGTCCCCTCTCACTCCCTGCCTCTGTGTCTGTCCCCTCTGGGCGGGAATGGGTGTGGCTCTCCAATGCTCTCCTCCTATGAGTGCCCGGTCACAGGTGGACTTGCAGGCTGTGCGTGCCCGTCCGTACAGTGAGTGTCCATGCAGAGCCCCAGGCAGGCCAGGCCTTCTGTGGGCACGGAGGGGTGTAGGGGCAGTGCAGGGCCTGTGTGCCCTGGGGCCAGGTGCTGCTGCCTCCTACCCTGGGTGCAGTCACAAGCGACCCCTCAGCCCTCCCTTTGCATGTGCAGATGCTCAGAGCCAAGCCCTGGTTTGAGGAGCCTCCCAGGGCTGCAGAGCTGGAGGGGCTGGCAGCTTGCGAGGGCGAGTACTCCTGTAGGTACAGCACCCTGCGCCCACTCGGCAGTGGGGCCTTTGGCTTCGTGTGGACCGCGGTGGACAAGGAGTGCAGCGAGGAGGTACTTGCTCATGGTGGGTGGCCCCTCTGTTCCCTTCCAGTGGGCTAGAAGGGTCATCTAAGCACAACTGCAAGGATGTGCTGGGCACGCAGCAGCTTCTGGACACAAGTGGCCACCCGGGGACGTGTATGCTGACCCTCAGGGCCGACGATCCTGGCGAGTCGTAGGCTCAGTTCTTACTCCGCAGCCCCGAGCACCAGCCAGGCTCAGGTTGGTCGTTGCATCTGTGCTAAGGGCATCTGCCCCCGGCTCTGCACGCCTGTGCTGCTCTCTGCTGCCTGGTCAGCCTGCTGGCTCTCATGGCCACACCCAGGGGAAGCCACACTGAGGCCTCCTCCACTGAGCCGGCCCATGGGCTGCCCAGTACGCACTCTCGGCCAACCTTCGTTCCCAGAGTGGCCTCTGGCTCATGCTGGAGCCACAGCAGGGTTTGCTGCGTGCCGGGCATCCTTCTGGACACCCCAGTGCCCACAGCTGCCTTGCCCCTCTGGCCCCTCCCCAGTTGTCCTGGCCACTTTTTCTTTTCTTTTTTTCTTTCTTTTTTTTTTTTTTTTTTTTTTTTTTTGCTTTAGGGCGCCTGCGCTCACCAGACAGAGAGACCGA